CCGGAAACATAGGTTTATTTTTTGTGCAAATTGGACATTTGGTAGAGGAAGATCTAATTTATCGAATTTGACATGAAAATTTTCCAGTTTTTATACAGGGTGGTCAAAAAATTTTATCGAATATGAAATTCAGAAAATGTCTACCTACCTAAACCCAGTAGTTTCATTTTATTTACGAATAAACATTTCCCTTTTCTTAAAATGATGTTTCCATCTGTTTCGCACATTTTAGGTTGGCTGTGAGAGGTAAGGAACAATTAACATGACACCTGCCACAGGAGTAATTGTCAAATTTATTTAGTTCCTTGTGGGTCGGTGCTCTAATAGAATCCGGTGATATATGCTATTTTATTTGGGACACTAAAAAATAGTGTGTACTACTCCAGTAACAACAAAGGAAAATTGTATGCATAGAGTAAGGCCAGCATACGAACATCTACCACTGGATTCTATTAGAGAAGCGACCCACAAGGAACTAATCCGAAGATGTGAAAAATGTTTAGAAATTGAGAGGAAGACATTTTGAACATTTATTAAAATAAATGATTACCAGTACCAGACATCGTGAAACTTCATTCCAAGTTCCTAAACCTAGAACTGCAAAATTTACAAAATCCTACTAGGTATTACCTCGGACTTGCTTGCCTTACTCTATGCATACAATTTTCCTTTGTTGTTACTGGAGTAGAGTACACACTATTTTTTAGTGTCCCAAATAAAATAGCATATATCACCGGATTCTATTAGAGCACCGACCCACAAGGAACTAAATAAATTTGACAATTAAAAACCTGTGACAGGTGTCATGTTAATTGTTCCTTACCTCTCACAGCCAACCTAAAATGTGCGAAATAAATGCAAACATCATTTTAAGAAAAGAAAAATTTTGAGTTTTCCACATTTTTTGAAATTCATATTCGATATTTTTTTTCATGTCAAATTCGATAAATTAGGGCTTCCTCTACAAAATTTACAATTTGCACAAAAAATAAACCTATGTTTCCGGGAAAACTAAATTTTGCTAAGAGTCTGCATCTGTCAATTTTAGCTTAAAAATTAAAATATCTCGGAAACAGTCAATCCTAAATGTGCTATATGTTTTCAACTTGAAGATAGATGTTCTTTCCAAAGATGCAATAATATATAAGGGGTTCCATTTAAAATAAGAAAGTTAATATCGGCTTACGGTATAACCGGAAGTACGATGATCTTGAAAATATTTTAGCTTGGAAGGCCCCACGGTCCGTATAACACCATGACAATTTCATAAAAATCCTTCGAGCGGTTTAGCAGATATCCATCGATGGAATTCGTGGTGGGACACCCTGTATATTCATAATATTCGTTTTATTGAAATTTAGTATTTTGGTACTAAACTGATACTTGATACTATAAATATTTATACACAAATGTAAACATATGTGAAAGTTCTGCGAAATCGGAATATGCAGTCAGAAAGATAAACTGAATTTTTAAGTACATATGTATATGTTTATGGTATGGTCTTTAAGTATGTTCC